TATTCTTATCTATTATTCGTCAAATACCTTAATGGTATTCTTATTTGTTATTCGTCAAATACCTTAATGGTATTCTTATCTATTATTCGTCAAATACCTTAATGGTATTCTTATTTGTTATTCGTCAAATACCTTAATGGTATTCTTATTTGTTATTCGTCAAATACCTTAATGGTATTCTTATCTGTTATTCGTCAAATACCTTAATGGTATTCTTATCTATTATTCGACAAATACCTTAATGGTATTCTTATCTATTATTCGTCAAATACCTTAATGGTATTCTTATTTGTTATTCGTCAAATACCTTAATGGTATTCTTATTTGTTATTCGTCAAATACCTTAATGGTATTCTTATCTATTATTCGTCAAATACCTTAATGGTATTCTTATTTGTTATTCGTCAAAACCTTAATGGTATTCTTATTTGTTATTCGTCAAATAATCTATTCTTATTTGTTATTCGTCAAATACCTTAATGGTATTCTTATTTGTTATTCGTCAAATACCTTAATGGTATTCTTATTCGTTAATTAGTAATTTTGCTACTTTCCCTGTTATGCGCTAGGCGAAGGCCGGTAAAGAGGAATTTATTTTGGTGATTCTTCAAGTATTTATCGGCTATTTTGATAAGCGGTGTTATTTGAATCAGCCACGTGATGCTATTACTTGGCACATTGGTGTTGTAAATGATACTTCTTCATAGGAATCCTTTCGAAGCTTCTCTATAATTATATTGCATTTTGCAAATAAGCACGGATCATGCTTTGCCCAATTTTTTTTTTTTTTTTATCCAGGCTTGCGTACGGTTCACGGTTTATCTCGTTGCCAACAAATCAATGGCTGCAGATGCATGAGAAATATCGGCGTCAATTAGTTCGGGTTTAAAGAATGAGCGAGCACACACACACACACACACACACACACACACATACACACACACGCGCGCGCGTGCGCAGAGACAAGATGTGTTATCCTACCCAAAACATCGTAGCTTCGAATTGATTGATTCATTTATTCACCTGGCTAGTTAACCCACGTTCTCCTGTGCCTCGCTGGACGTTTTACGAAATCATTTATTCATAAAATAAAGAATTTCACCAGCATATATATATATATATATATATATATATATATATATATATATATATATAGATGGATTGATGTGAGATTGTGACCCTGGGTATGACGCCCTTGAGTTCCTCAGACAAACTGTTTGTCTGACGATCGCAAAGGGCGAGAAACCCAGGGTCACAAACTCACATCAATCCAACTAAATATGTTAGCTCTATCTCTGATATTGAGAACTTTCCAATAAGTACCGCGCATATATAACATATGAATAGCATATATAAAAATGAAATATATAAAACACATATATATATATATATATATATATATATATATATATATATATATATATATATATATATATATATAATTAGGAGAAATGGTCCATGTGTTCTTCTTATGTAAAATAGGTTAGTTAATAAAACAAGGACAAATGAAAGGGTATCAATATAATCAGTACTATGAAAATTTATAAAATATTAATTATTAATCATATGACAGAAATGAGACACGGAAAGAAAGGTTTAAGTTCGGAATTTTTGGACATGCCTTTGTCCTTCATCAACGGACCGAGAAATAAACAGAGAAACGAAAATTACTCACCGACAGATGTTTTTGTATACGGTGTATTTTCTGGTGGTAATTATATTGTTAGCAAAAACACGATCTCTGTTTGATTCCTCGGTGTGCGAAACTTTTCATGTATGTATTCAATTTTTATTAAACCCGATTAGCAAGGTACCGCGATTAAGCTTTTTATTCAATTTTTCCTGTGTTCGTATAAGTATTTTCTTTTAAAGGCAAAGAGTGTAAAACTGTCCGAATGTTCTATATATCAGAACGCTTTCGGCTATTCTGTTAGTCACTATCAAGGGTGTATTATTATTTTTTCATTTTTTAACTGCATGGACGCATTAATAATAGCAAAGAAAAATCCAACATCAATTAGGAACGCGGCCATAGTGTGCTAACCGATTTTTGGGAAAAAATTCATATTAGTGTAGATAAATATAGATAAATAAAATCTACAGATTCAGTTAAAAATCAAAATAAAGTATATGTAAAACATCTAGACAGTTTTTACATACTTTATGGCCAGAAAAGGAAACACTGATATGAAAGCATGAAAAATTGAATAAAAAGCTTGACATAGTACCTTGTCAATCGTCTTTAATTGAAATTGTATTAAAGGGTGATTCCTGCCCAAATACACAATATATATATATATATATATATATATATATATATAGGATATTAAATCATGTTAAAAATCGCTACACAATTACAACTGATGTCTGAAGATAATTGATAAACACACAGTGTTTCTTCCGGCGATGTTAAAGTACTGGCGAGTGAAGGATTAATTTAATTTAAGAAAACAGAATGCTTTTAAAAAAATGACTTGTGCGCTTTGCCGTGAGTAACCAATCAAATTTGACCTACTCTAAATTCAAATTTACCAAAAAAAAAATTAATATAGGTCATGAAACGAAGTTGTCTGCATATAAAATCTAGAAATAATATTTAGCCTTACTATGTATTGAGCCTTCTTTTAAATTAAATGTCACGTACAGAGAAATCATTTCCCATTTGTTCTCATTTATATATATATATATATATATATATATATATATATATATGTGTGTGTGTGTGTGTGTGTGTGTGTGTGTGAAAAGTGTGTATATATATATATATATATATATATATATATATATATATATATATATATTTATTTATATATTATATACGCGGTACTTATCACCTTCATCCCTGCCGTGCGCCAACTGCTTAGGAGTAGAATCTCCGACTGACGCCAATTCAGCAGGGTTTCGATCTTAATTGGATGCAACCGGACCTCTAGTCTCACTGATGTGCTGTGATACAGCAAAACAGTCTGTCTGTGGATGACAATATATATATATATATATATATATATATATATATATATATATATATATATATAAAGTGGTTTTTGAGCACTTCAAGTGGTGTAATAGTTAGCAAATTTATCTCGCCATATTAGCTAATACTGAGCAGTGAGTGTGTATGGAGCTCCATACTTTTAGCCTTGTGCCAGATCAAAGATTCTCTTAGTAAATCACTATAAAAGTGAACACTCAGGTTTCATGCTTGAACATAATCTTCAGGCCAAATGAAGATTGCATTTAAAATAAATTGTTTATGGAACCTGATTGGATATGACAACTCATGTATTCTCTACGACGTCAGGGTGGTTGAACTCCAGATTACCGGGAAAGAGGTCAGGGTTTGTGCCACGGTGTACGTCCCCGCCAAAAATCCGATAGATTTCGCGAGCCGATCACCAACTTGCCATAAACCATAAAAAGAGCGACCAGATCTGAAACAGGACAGTCAGCAGGCAGATCTGAAACGGAACGGTCAGAGAACAGGCACGGCTGCGACACAAGTTATCATGAAAACGCGCCAGTCAGCGATGATTTTCCTACATACGTGGCGAAGTAAGTCTTGTCTCAACTCTCTGTTTTCACTGTGTTTTAAAATTCCTGCTATCGCACAAAATCAAACATCAGTTACATACATGTTTCATTCGCGTGTGCTTCACACAGACATATTTGTGTGCATATCGTTTCGAACTTTGCAGACTCACTTGAAACAAATTAACTTCGAACTTTGCAGACTCACTTGTGACAAAAATCATTTTTTGAGCGCTCGAACTATGATCTCTTCATGGCCACACAATGTTTCATCTCATAAAATATTCAAGATGATATCAAAAAATATATTCCAAGCAAAAATGGCTAGTTTTGATTGACATAAAAAGCAAAATAAAGCTGTAAAGATCTTTCTTTTTTTTCCTTCTTTCTTTTGGCTTTCATTACTGAAGAAACGATAATTCGAATATTGATAACAAGAACTCTCATTTGAATCTATGTACGTATCGCAAGGAATTTTTTTTCTTTGATTTGATTATATACTTTTTCTCTTTTAGTCCGACAACACCTAGCCGCTTTAGCAAAGGCTGCTGATGTTAATATTGTTCGGATTTTAATATTGGATATTATTGTGGTTTCTCTCTTGAGAGCATTTTTGTTTTACGCCTCCTGCTTCTTCTTCTGCTCCTTCTTGTGCTCCTTCTTCTTCACGATATTATTTCTTTTCTCTTTGTTCCTATCGCTTTAGTCCTAATCTGTTGACATTATTTTGAATTGTATTCCTTTTCAAAAACAGTGTATTCTTCTTAATGAATTTATTGGTTACTTCTTTTTTGCTTTCGCTTTTTTTTTTTTTTTCGTTTCTGCTTTTCTGTTAATATTAACAGTTAACCGCTTTGCCGTTGTAAATTACGTAAACTGGCATGAATCAGTTTTATCGCCCTCGCATCGCAATAATACGAGGAGTGTATTAAAAACGAAAGGCGCGCGCCTGGAGCGACTTTTGCTCGCACTAAATGTCAAAAAGACTGTTGAGGTGCGTCCAGTGTCGGCCATGATGATGAAGACATGAAGGCATCAATAAGTATCGAAGAAGAAGACGAAGAAGAAGAATAAAAATGTGAGATAAATAAAACGTCGAAAAAGAGGCTATTTCTTTCCTTTCAAGGATTCCAGCCGATAAAACAAGCGAAGTCGCCGTTTCAAATCAATCAGATTTTCTTTGCCCAGAAGAAGCCATCCATACTATCCTTGATTTCAAAGTTATTTTTAAAGTCAATACCCTTATTCGGCTGCTAAGAAAACCAATAGTGCTGGGTTGGGAATGGAAGGCGGTCAGCGTGGAAGGATTTTCTTCATCGTAGGTGAGAAAGCAATGTTTCCATTTCCGATTCATTTACAAATTGACATTTTGTCTAGTGGTCCATTTAAGATGAAACATGTATGATTTTTATTCAATGAATTCGTTTTTCGTTCGATTCACATAATGCCATTGGCACGAGAGGCTTTCGGAGATGTATTTCCATCGTTTCAACCTGATTTCTTTACCTCTTTCCTTTCTCTTGAACTTTTCAGACGATGCCTTCTCTCCTTATTTCTCAGACTCACCCTTTCGATATTTTTCAGCTTCTCGTTATCGCCTTTGTAACAACCACCGTCACTGCTTTCTTTCTTGCCTATTTGATTCATCAGAGAAAATAGTCCGATGACTGAATAATGAGGCGACGAATTTGTATGAATAGAAGAATTCGTTAAAAAAAAATACTGTAAACGTTTGCACCAAGAAAATATAGAGTAAGCCTCATTTAACCTTTTGAAAAGGCATATCCTTAAAGAACTTTCACTTGTTTTTATGCTTTGAAATATATTTTCTTTATATTGAGCATTTGCGTGATAAACTAAAATATTTGTCTGCCTGCCTGTCTGTCTGTCTATCTATCTATCTATCTACCTACCTTAGTCTGTTCATAACTATCTATCTCAGTCTGTTCATATCTATCTCAGTCTGTTCATATCTATCTCAGTCTGTTCATATCTATCTATCTATCTATCTATCTATCTATCTATCTATCTATCTCAGTCTGTTCCTATCTATCTATCTATCTATCTATCTATCTATCTATCTATCTATCTCAGTCTGTTCATATCTATCTATCTATCTATCTATCTATCTATCTATCTATCTATCTATCACCTGTTTATGAAATCCGTGGATACAAATTAGAGATGCCAGAATCAACACTGTATACAAATGTATTTACCTTGTGAGTTTTGTTTGTTTTTTAAACAGATGTCGGAGAATGTGAAACAGAAATCCGGTGAAGCATTGTAATAATGAAAGATGCCTTCCAAAAATTAAACATCGTATTAAGGAACAGGAAAAATTAATTTTAAACAAAGAGAAATTGCTGAACTGCGATGCAATATCAGATCAAGGGGCATGATTTCAAGCGATTTGAAAGAATCTCTGAATAAAATGGAGCATGTGAGGCATTTTAAGAAAAACTGAAACGAAGGATAAGCTTTTGAGACAGTCGGAATTTCTGTCACATATTCTGAGGAAAGTGGGCTTGGAGAATTTGACGCTCACGGAACATATTGAAGGTTAGGGGGACAGAGTTTACTAGCGAACGGCAGAACAGGGATTGGGAGCCACAATAAGGAGACAAACATTACTTAGAGCTCTAAGGGATAGGAAGTTGTGGAGATCAGTGATCGCCCACGTCTTGAATGGACAGGTCACATAAAAGAATAAGAATATACACCATAGTTTCTTGTTTGAATTCCTGGGATAATCATATATAGTTATTTTTTTTATTATTTATAGTCGAACTAATGCTGTTCAAATAAAACCTTTCGGCTGTTATGCTCTTCAACCTTCCTCAGGAGTCTGGGCGACTTCAGAGCTTAATTCATTGTTCAGTATATGGGGGTAGATTGTTCTTATGCCTCTGTTCACATCAAGGAATATCGCGCATGGGTTAATTGTTCAATTACTACTAACCTTATTTCCAGTGAATATACCAATACTGCCTTGTCCTGGGATTGAACTCACAATTATTATATTATCAAATTCACAAGCCAACGCTTAAATCCTCTCTGCCGTTGTACCTAGAAACTACGAATTTGAGCCTTAAGCCTAATGGTTTTCTTGCTTCATCTACCGACTTGCTGTCAACCTTGCTCCCCCCCCACCTCTGTCGGTTTTTCTCTTTCTTTTGTATCATCATCATCATCCTTTTGTCACGGCAGGCCGTTTTGCCATACCCCACAAATAACACTGGGGAATGGATAAAAAGAAGTTAATCATTAAATTAATCTCGAATAGAGACAGTTACTTCCAAGGGCATTCTCCCCATCAACGTGACGTGAAAATCACCAACCATCTTGCAAAAATGCAAATATGGGTGTACAAACTTCATTTACAGATTTGACAGAATTACAAGATAACAGTAACGATCGCGACCTGCTGGGCTGGCGACTCATCGATGACGCTATAGTGAAATCTTCAAAAATGGGGCCGTCGGCAATTATTACGCGCGATAATGTTGTCATAAAGGCACCAGTATAGTGCACAGTGTCATTGCCAGTAAGGGTTTAGTATCTGTGGCGCTGATAAAAAGACACGGGATATCAGCACGAAACCAATTATAAGATCACGTCGCAAGTTTTTGATTGTTCAGTATGTTCGTGGGAGCATCAACCTCTGTCACTCTCTCTCTCTCTCTCTCATATATATATATATATATATATATATATATATATATATATATATATATATATATATATATATATATATATATATATGGATATATGTCTGCGCGTATGTGTGCGTGCTTGTATGTATATATGTTGCGTGTATGTGAGGAGGGATCAGTAAGTTTGCAGCCTGACATGTAGTTCTGAGCTGAAATATTAACAGAAATTTTCACGGTATTATATTTAATCTATGTTACTTTAGATTTACTTCCGAATTAAGTGCATTGACAAGGACGGTGATGAAAAGGTATTTATTAGTAAAAATGAACGCTTTCTCTTCATATAGGGAAGATCGAATATATATATATATATATATATATTGACAGTTGGGTTTCGATCCTAGCTAGAGGCAACCGAACGTCTAGACACACTGATGAGCTGTGATACAGCGAAACAGTCTGTCTGTGGATGAACATATATATGCTCCTGAAAATTTATTTCGGTTGAGCTCTCTGGGGAGAAAGTGTGGGTTTGTAAACAGTGACTACGGCTAATAATGCAAGACTATTTGGTAAATCGAATCGAGTTCTCTCAGTCACTGTGTGTTTATCTAAAAATAAATACACTTAAATTCACCGTCAATCCCTGCCGTGCTTAGTGGTAGAATCTCCGACTGACGCCAAATTAGTCGGGTTTCGATCCTAGCTAGAGGCAACCGGGCATCTGACCACACTGATGAGCTGTGATACAGCGAAACAGTTTGTCTGTGGATGACAATATATATATATATATATATATATATATATATATATATATATATATATATATATATATATATATATATATATATATATAAACGAATCTGTGATGATATTAAAAATTTCGGATGATCTATGACGAGAGAAATTTCGAAAAAGTTTTCTTGATCTCTGTAGTTGGTTAAAGCGTATCAGATTTAATGGTAGCTTTCTCTGTCCCGAGGGGCGCAGGTTCGAATTCTGCCGGTGAGTGTAAATAACATGCAATTGAAAATAATGCAACGTTGTTGTGGAGAGGTTCAATTCCTGCGCGTGTTGACGAATAGAGGGGGTCTGGATTTTCGGCCACATTCTCGTGCACTGCAGTAATGTTTTCAGTTGAACAGCGTAAACGAGTCTGCAGTGGTGTTTTCACATCTATCACCAACCCAGTCTTTTTGAATTTATGAGCAATTTTTCCAACTGCACTTCCTGTTGGTCTATTACCTTGACAATAAAGAAATCACTTCATTTTAATTGTTTTTAAAGCATTTTGGAATATTTCAAATTTTATCCCCAAAAGTATATAGAAATTCATTAAAAACTTTAATTAATAAAATATTCCAGAAAAAAACACAACCTTATTTTAAAGTTACTAACTTGCATTTATTAGTATTCAACCTGTTGAAGACACCCAATAATTTTTAGTGGTTATGATTTACAAAGAATTTCTAAACAGACTCTGTTTTTGGAGATGATTAGTTTGTTGCGCCTTTATTTTATTTGGGGAACCGTTACATGATTTGAGGTAAAACAATTTTCCCCCCTTAACATCCTGTTTTATTACGGTATTAATAAAAAAAATTTCTTGTTAGTACTCCGTTTTAGATTACCGACGATTGTGTTTGAAAATGTGTCGGTCGAAAGGTGCCTTACATTTTGTTTTAAACGTGGATATTGTTGTATCTTATGGTTAATATGATCCCATATTTTTTATTCCTCAAATGTCTGATTAGATTTGGCAGTACTATAAATCTGTTTTAAGTATTTTCGGGACAAATATGGCTGCCATTTTGTGAAAACTCTCAACAATACCATTCGGTTGAGAGGAAAAGTAAGGTCCCTCTTGGGTAAGATTCAATTCTTGAAACTTTGTTCTCAAAATTTTGTTATACCTGGTAATATCTCTCGGCGTGTTTCTCGGGTTAAGTGTCGCAACATTTTTAATGTTGAACGAGCTTTCCTCAGAGACGAAATTATTTATTTTTCTGAAGCGCTCAGTTCAATTAAAACCCATTATCTATCTATCTGGGGTAGAGTCTAGCGCACTTTGTCGTTCTATGATAGGTTTCGTTTTGCTAAATATTTGTCGGGGGGTGATCTGGTTGTTGGCAATAGGATTAAGACCAAGAATATGTCTTATTTGAATTTCTTAATAAAAAAGAAATTCGGCTCGCGTGTTACAACAGATAGACATAGTTTTAACTTGTCTGATTATGAGTTGTCTGTCTCTGAGAAGGTCGTCTTGTCTCGAGGTCCGGAGTTTCGAATTCCTCCTGAGAAAGTTGAGGTGTTTAGTAATTTCGAGGTCCTCCTTTCTCAATTATTAAATCACCATCCTAACTCTGAGGACCATTTGCTTCGCCTGAAAGCCCGATTAAAGGACTTGTCATACGGCATTGTAGACTCAAATGTTAACTCCTCTGGGTTTGTGTGGCAGAGGAGGCATTTCCAGACAGTTAGGTCATTAAAAACCAACCCAGATATCTATATTACCAAGTCCGACAAAGGTGCCGGAGTCGTTATATTGAACCACTGTGACTATGTTGGCAAGATGCTATCTATTCTTGAGGATAGTAGTAAATTCCGGAAATTGGGTGATATTATTTATGATGATACCCCAAGAACTGAAACTAGATCCCCCCCCCAAAATTACTGGAATTTTATAAAAGTAATTTTCTATCGAAAGAAATTTACAATAATATTCGTCCTGTTGGTTCCCAACGTCCTAGGATGTATGGGTTACCAAAAATTCACGAAGAGGGCGTTCCACTTAGGCCAATTTTATCTATGTTGGGTTCCGCCCAACATAATCTTGCCAAGTGGTTATTGGATGTTCTTGATCCGGTTTTAGAATTTTACTCGGAGTATTGTGTGCCTGACTCGTTTAAGTTTGTTGATTATATACAAAATTTAAATCCAAACAGCGACACTGAGTATTTTGTGTCGTTTGATATAAGTAGTTTGTTCACGAATGTTCCAATTGATGAAACTATTAACATTTGTGCAGACTTCTTGTATCGTGGCCCTGGTAAATCTATGTTGTTTCCTGAGAGTGTGTTTGTTGAATTGTTGGGGATGGCGACCAAGTCTGTCTCCTTCAGTTTTGACAATGGCATGTATCAGCAAATCGACGGGGTGGCGATGGGTAGTCCCTTGGGTCCTGTGATGGCCAACATTTTTGTTGGTTTTCATGAAAGGCGACTATTTGAGAGGGTTAACAAACCGTATTGTTACTTCCGCTATGTTTATGATACGTTCGCATCATTTTCTAATAGTGCAATGGCGGAAGTGTTCTTTCATTATTAAATAATCTCCATCCTGCACTTAAATTTACAATGGAGGTTGAAGAGAACAATCGTTTATCTTTTTTCTGATGTCCTTGTGGAGAGAACTCCTTCGGGTTTCTAAACGAGCGTGTACCGGAAGCCCACTTTACAGGACTTTATATGGCCTGGGACCCTTTTGCTCCCAGAGCCAGAAAGGTTAACCTTATAAGTTGTCTTACCCATAGGGCATTGAAGATTTGTTCTGGGTGTAGACTCGATGCCGAATTGAGAACAATTAAGGAATTGTTTCTTAAGAATGGTTACCACGAATCAGTTATTAAAATTGTCATTGAACGCAAGATCAGGAAGTTCAATGAAATTAAGAAATATGGGCCTTCCAAATGTCCTATATATGTCAGGCTCCCTTGGATTGGTCCTGAGAGTCAGACATACGCCGATAAGATCTCTTCATCCATTAAACGGTGTTATAATGCCGTTACAGTCAGGAACATATTTACTACCAGAAGGGCTTCCCCCACTTGCCGTAAGGATGTTTTGCCTACCTACCATAATAATTTAGTTATTTATCAATTTAAATGTCGATGCGGGCTCGACTATGGGGCAAAACTATCCAGAGGCTTGAGGTTAGAATCGCCCAACATGTCCCGGGCTGCGTGCGCAGGCATGAGTTTGTGACATCCGGGTGTTCGCAGACTCATGCCTCTGCTATCGGTGAACATCTATTAAATTCTAGTGTTTGTAGGACTGAGTATTCTCCCATTTCTTTTCGGTATTGCACATTTGGAACAGTTATTCCACCTCGACATTTAGAGTCTGTTATTATCAACATACAATGGGAGATGAAGTTTAAGTTGGCCTTTATTTGGGGGAACGTTACAAACATTTGAGGTTTAACATCCTGTTTTATTACGGTATCCTGTTTTTGTTAGTACTATTTACATTTTATTGTTTTAAAATGTGGATATTGTTGTATTTTATGTTTTAAACGTGAATATTATTTATATATATATATATATATATATATATATATATATATATATATATATATATATTGTTCTTTTAATGGGTTCCTGTATTTGTGTAGACGCTCCGTTTATTTATTAAACTGTATATTTATTTCATTTTATTTTCTTCTACCTACCTGAATATTCGTGAAATCTTATTAAAAAGAAATAGGTGCTCTTCGGTGGGATTAGAACCTGCGTACCTCGTTGGCACGGGAAGTCGTCGTTAGATTCGACGTGCTTTACACCGTCTCGGTCACGGAGACCGTCGGTGATCAAACAAAGATGACTAATGTCTTATAAACGCATATCTCGAAACAATTCAATTTTGTTTGATAATCGATGCACATCGTAGCTGAGACGGTCTAAAACACATCGGATCTAACGCCGGTTTCCCCTGTATCTTTATCACTTCTGGTGTTCATCTTTGAGTAAATTGTTCAACATTGACGATTAGATGTTGCATAGCAGTCTCGCCTTCTTTTCTCTATTTCCGAGGAAATTTTCATATCACCTAGCATATTTATAGCTATCTTAGTATACTTTTTATTCTCATCTTCAATTAGGATACAGTGATATATGAACGTCTGGGTGAGAACCAGTTATACAATGACATTACTTTGACACATTTGGAAGAATTTGCTACAACAGGTATGTTGAAAATTGCACATATATTTCATAAACTTTTGCATTAAATTAAGATTTACTACTTTGATTTCATTCTGAACACTTGTCATAAAAATATTTTGAATTAAAAATATGAAGAATCTTTTATTTTATTTTAATTTAAAATTTGCCGCACAGCCTAATTGAAAACACTCCCTTCATTTCCAAAAACAGATTGACAGATTAGAATTGTAAATCATAACCACTATCTAAAAATTATTGGGTGTCTTCAATATGTTGAATACTAATAAATGCAAGTTAGTTACTTAAAAAAAAGGTTGTGTTTTTCTGGAATATTTTATTAATTAAAGTTTTTAATGAATTTGTATATACTTTTGGGGATAAAATTGAAATATTCCAATACGCTTTAACCATCTGAGCGACAGAGAGCAAGCCGAAATTGGACCTTTAAGCGAAACTTCTCTCGTCATGTTACACTCGTTACTTGTATATGAACTGACCAATGCAAGTAGATAGATAGATAGATAGATAGATAGATAGATAGATAGATGTGTTTGTGTGTTTGACTATATTCATAATCAGCAAATATATTTCTGGCGCTTTTGTTGCCTTTCGAAAACTTTTACTCTTCCTATGCACATTCGAATTTCCGTATCACACTTGCCTCGAATATGAATGTATCACACAGATAGTTCTTCAGATTTCCTTTTCTATTAATGTGATCTAGAAATAGATAATGACCAGAATAAAGTAAATATACAGGATCAATGAAAAGTAACTCCCCCATTTTAAAATACTTATAATTTATTTATTAACGATAATTTTTACAATAAATGGATATAACAGGAAAGCGTTTAGCATAAGGTTTTATTTAGAATTCGATATGGGCACCAGATTTAGCTATCAGCTTCTCAAGCCGCCCAGGAATCGCATCAACTGATTTCACCAGGGACTCTTGTGGTATGAAAGACATAACTTCTTGTATTCGCCCTTCAAGTTCTTCCAGTGTTTTGATTTGGTATAATAGAATTGGCTCTTTAACCAACCCCAAAGAAAAAAATCACTGGTCACTCGTATGTATAACAGAGGGTTACTTTTCAATCACGCTGTATATAAAATGATCGAGAGGCAGCTAGATAGATAGATAGATAGATATGAACAGACTGAAATAAGTATTGACGGAGATAGAGAGGTGAATAGTGATAGATAGATAGATAGATAGATAGATAGATATATTGAAATAAGTATTGACAGAGAAAGTAAGAGAGAATGAATGGTAATAGATAGATAGATAGATAGATAGATATGAACAGACTGAAATAAATATTTACAGAGATAGAGAGAGGTAAATAGATAGATAGATAGATAGATATCAACACTATGTGTTACTTGTATATGAACAGACCAATGCAAGTAGATAGATAGATAGATAGATAGATAGATATAGATACAGACTAGAAATAAATTATGTTTACAGAGATAACAGACCAATAAAGATAGATAGATAGATAGATAGATAGATATCAACACTATGTGTTACTTGTATATGAACAGACCAATGCAAGTAGATAGATAGATAGATAGATAGATAGATATCAACACTATGTGCTACTTGTATATGAACTGACCAATGCAAGTAGATAGATAGATAGATAGATAGATAGATAGATAGATAGATAGATAGATAGATGTATGTGTGTGTTTGACTATATTCATAATCAGCAAATATATTTCTGGCGCTATTGTTGGCCATTAGTTGAGAGTTCAATCCTCACAGTGTACTTCATATTTGTGACCTTGCGCCAGGCTAATTTAACATTCGTAAACAACAACAATAATAATATATATAAATACTTCAGTGTTATCAAGTGCAAGCTTTATTTAAGTGTTTCCTATCATCGAAAACATTGTCCGGTTATCAGCGCTCGTTTGAGATAAGTGTCATGATAAAATAGTCAGTTCAAGTAAAATGGGGCAAAAGACATTGAATGAAAGTGCGCAACCGTTTTCGTTCAAATGAATAAAGACTTAAAATGATTCCAAGAATCACTCAAAAAGAAGTGTTTTGCAAATTAATTTTATATTTCTGTGTTCTTTTTTCTAATCACAGAAGTTCCATTCTTAAGTTCTTTGAGAAAGTCGATGAACTGGTGTTGTAATCGATAACGGCACCAAAGTCGGGTTCTTTATATTCACTTACGCTCATATACACTTGGAAAAAGTCTGAAATCATCTCATCCCCCACCTATAGATTAAATAGTAAGATTTGTATCTGTAAAAATCAGTATTTTTCTCAAAATATGTTAATGCAATCTTCACTCACAAAAATAAAGAATTATAAAGAAATATTCTTTCTTTCAATCCAAAATATATTTCAGCTTTAAATAACTGACAAAAGGTTGATAAGCCGTAAAAATCAAACAAATCAGTCTTCGAGGAAACATTTTACTTTCTGATTTTTATGCTAAGTTTTTCTTCTCTCTCTCTCCCCACCTCCCTCCCTCTCTCTCTCTCTCTCTCTCATGCGGCTTTCGTTTCCCCAGATCAACTGCTGATGTACTAAGGATAATTGCAGAAAATAGTCTATCATGCTCTAGATAAAAACGGTGAAGCCCGGGCTGTAGCATTGGATATCTCGAAAGCCTTTGACAGGGTCTGGCATTTAGGTCTTCTTCCAAAGCTGAACATTTATGGTATCTCCGAGCACGTTTTTGAGCTGATGCAGTCATTCCTATCAAATCGTGAAATGAAATTTGTTCTGAGCGGTCAATCGTCTACACCCTTTCGTACTAATACGGCTGTCCCCCAGGGCTCCATCCTTGCTCCTACGCTACTCTTAATCTTCATTGACGGCCTTCCTGATGACATCAGCTCTGAACTTGGACGACACTACCATTTACTCTTACCTGGATACTGAGGCTGATCAGTAAGACAAGGTCAAAATGGCAGCCGATGTATAAAACGTCGTCAAGACCGTCGTTAACTGCTGAAAAATGGCTTGTCAATTTTAAGGCATCCCAAACTAAACTGCTCCGCATTAATCATCTGAGAGACCCCCTCTCTGTCTTCCATCAGCATGGCTGATGCTATCCTCCAAGAAAGTGACTCATTGCACCTTCGCAAGTTAACATTCTCAGCTGACATGAGATGGAAAGATAACGTTGAATCCATCGCTAAATCAGCTGCAGTGTCGGGCAAGACAATTTTTCTCTCCGAAATTTCTCTTAAATATCTATAAGTTTACTATTCATCCATGCTTAGAATATTGTTGCCATATATGGTCCGGTGCCCCTGCTATTTTCCTGGAGCTTCTTGATAAGATCCAAAGAAGAATCAGCAATATTATTGGTCCTCATCTGGGGACTCGGCTTCAGTCACTTGCCCACCGTCCTAATGTTGCCTCACTTTGCCTTTTTTTTTTTTTAAATACTTTCATGGTAATTGTTCGGATGAGTTCTTCCCTGTGGTATCTAAACTGTATGAACTTAAACACAATACTAGACTAGCGGTGGGATCTCATTTTACAGTAGAGCTAGCTAGTTGTAGCCGTTACTTCTATGCTAAGAGTTTCTTATCCTGCACTTCTGTCTTGTGGAAATCCCTTCAAGCTCTATGCTTTCCAACTAAGTTTAAATTGCAAAAATTTAAATGCAAGATCAATCTCTCTTTGTTGTAATTCTGATTTCAAAACCAGTTTGAAGTTTAAAATTTTTATTCTGTTGCCAATGTTTCGTTCAATAAAATGATCATAAGAATAACTGACAAAATTAAGGTAAAATTGTCTCCTTTGTTGCACCCAGAGTTGCTTCATACGATGTTCGGATATTATATATTTTCATATATGTATACGGGGTGGCAATGATATTATAACATAGAGAGAGAAAAAAATTCCATAATGGATAATTTTTTTCACGTTCTAATGAACGCTCAGCACATTGTCAACTATTTTGCATTTAAAAGCATAATGAAATATACGGTAATGGCTAACAATGCACAACTCTGTGTAAATACTTGTACGAATGAACAACATATAGTTTTGTATTACTTGCACCCCTGAAGATGATCTTGGAAAAAAGATCGAAAGTACTTTGGAAATTAAAATCAAAGGAATTTAAACAGCTATAGCACATTTCTCTCATCCTTTAACATCAATACACGGAAGATTATTCGTGAGTATGAAGGGATTTTGTTAAAAATTAGCAGACATAATGTCTGTAATTTATCCAATCCGATATACATATATATATATATATATATATATATATATATATATATAATAACTCTCTTTAACACACACTCTTTTACACACACACACACACACACATATATATATATATATATATATATATATATATATATATATGCGTGCGTGTGTGTGCGTTCACCAATTCACATCATGCATCCCTTAGCTCATTAGGGTCGTAGGGGCACCATGCATAAGAGAAGTGATGGCGTATCTAGGTCAAGAGAGCATGATGCAGCCTCTTCAAGCTGGATATGAATTCATTCTTTTCCTTTTGCTATAGTGGTTGTCATTTTAAGGCAAGAGAATACAGTCTGCCCTGTTATTTAATTCCTAGCAGAAGGAAGATGTGTCCATGGCTTTTCCAAGGTTATTAACGCGAACTGAATGAAACAGAATTTTACAGGAATTCGGCCGAGTTCACTTTCTGCGCTGATAACCGTTACGCTGTCCAAACATCGGGATATGCGTGTTCATGAAATCTTAAATCACAGAGGTCTACAGTTAGGCAAAGACAGATGAAAGTAATTGTAACTGATTTACAAACAACAAAACAAGATGAATGAAGGAAGGGACGATTTGCTTCGGTTCATCTCGTTAGCCAATTCGGCTTGTATAGATCTCATAAATCATCTTCCTATACATCACTAAATGGAAAGAAAGAAAGAAAAAGAAAGAAAGAAAGAAAGAAAGGAAAAAGAAAGAAAATGAAAAATAAAAGAAAGAAAGAAATGTTTGTAATAAGAAGACCTGAAATGATAAGTGTGCCGGTTTTAATGTTGCTTAACTTTTATGACTGAATAGTACTGATATTCGCAACGTACTGCATGTCCTTAACACTCTAGACTTTACCATCGGGGTTAACTGGTGTATTTAGACTGATCTGTTGAAAATAACAAGCAAGATATGCAATGATTTCGTAAGGTTTAATCTTGTTAAAAATAAAGTACTTTGTATAATCTTCATATCAGTTATCAAGAAGACCATGTTCACCTCATTAGATAATAATAATAATAATAATAATAATAATAATAATAATAATAATAATAATATAACAACTCCATGATTTACTTTATCATTATTGCTATTATCTACTTTATTCTGGCAAGAGGTCAAGGTATTCGTAAGTTCCTGTGGCATTAGAACGATTGTATTCACGCGGGATTTCTCGATAAACTACTTCATTTTTGGTCTGATTTTGATTGTAACGTTCTTCAAAACATCTTGAAAGATAATTGTAATTTTCCGGGAATTTTGTCAATTTAAATCTATATTTTTTCTTTACTTTTCACATACACAGACGCACATGTGTGTCTGTAGAAGGAAGCCGGCTTAAAATTCGTTATGTCCGGTATATATGCCGGGTTAGCGACTCAGTAAGAGAAATCGGTCGAGTTGGTTGCATTAACGTTCGCAGAAATACTCGCGAGACATGTATGAATTAAATCTCTTCCATTACCCCTCATCTATGGGTTAAATAGCAGGTATAATTAAGCTCACTTGCCTTGAGTTGGCAACTGGTCTAGAACAAAAGAAAACTCTGGATCCCAAACCAACCTGAATGAGGATCTTCTTCTCCTCCTCTTCTACTACTACTAATACTACTATTACTACTACTACTATATGACTTTTTTTTATTAATCGCTTCCAAGCAAAGCGATAATGCCACTAAGACACAAGGGAGTGAAAGTGAATGGCATTATGTTAGAAGGAACTTCGAACCCTAAACAGGGAACTAATGATAAAGCTCTACTCCTATTTACATTATTCGGACTATTGTCCTCATCTTCTTGTCATATTTATTACAACGTTTCGGCCGTTGTACGCTTTGGCCTTCTTCAGGTGGTTGAAATGTCGAACTGAACCCTTTATTTCGCTCACTGGTGTAGACTGTTCTAGTTCCAAGTGCCACGTTTTATGGATCTCAGTTATCAGTTGTCTCCTGTTAATTCCCCTCTCCAAGTTCTCCACTGCCTTAACCTGGTATTGAACTCACACTCTTTGGGTCCTGTAAATGGATCTAACCAACGTCTTTATCCACTGTGCCATGTGCCGTTGAGGACACATGGCAGAATGGATAAAGGCGTTCACCGAAATAGGAGTACATAATACCTTATCTCAGAAATATAGATAGAGCTCTCCTCGTTCCTGTTCGGAGAGGAGTGTGAACCGGGCAATAAACGAACCCATCTATTTCTATTCTTGAAGAGAATAAAATAGTTTGTAATAAAAATGTCTGTCGAGACAAAGTTGAAGTATATTTTAAGAGGAAATCTAGTCCTAAACAGGAAATAAGGAATATAGCTCTACTCCTGTTCAAAAGACCAGGAGTAATGTGAACCGGGCAAGAAGCGAACCTATTTACACCTAATAAGAAGAAAAGAATAATTAGTAAATAAAATTACATAGTTCATTCAGAGACGTTAGAAGTATAGAACGGAAGTAGACTTTAGAAGGAACCGGAAAACCAATCCGAATAAAAAAATAAGGGATAAACCTCTACTTCAAAA